CATGTCCTCGACCCCCCCAGGTGACCCCAAGCCCCCCCCCCCGGTGTCGGTGTTTCTGACACATCTCAACATTTCAACAACATCTCAACATTTCCAATCCCCAGGAAACGGGGTCACATCCCCCCTGCTCACTCCTCTCCTCGCTTTTGCAGGGATTTATGAATTTTTTAGGGATTTTTTTCCCCCTTCCCGGGCTCGTCCGAGGGGTTTTTCCCCCCCTTTCCACGGGGAGGCCGCTGGAAAACAAACCGGGAACGCGGCTGGAATTCTGTCTCCAGGAGCAGCCGATGCCAAAGGTCTCCTCGTGCCTCGTTACGTGCGAATGTTCCGCTCGGGAACGCTTTGCCCTGGGCCCGGCAGGGGGGATAATTATGGGATGGAGCAGCTGGAAAGACGAGCGGCTTAATTAGGGCTTCTTGACAGCCCCGGTAATTAATGACACCCACCCGGGGCAGGAGCCATTGAAGTGCTGGGTGTCTCCCTTAAACACAGGCGGCGTCCGCGGCATTCCCGGCTGGAAGAGCAGGATCGGAGCCCGGGAGGAGCCGCCTGGCCTGGAGCTGCTCCGACCTGGGCTTCGTTTGGTGCCTCCAGTTTGTCTCTCCTTGGGCTCAGTCCCCCCTCCTGCCCCCACGGGGGTCCTGGGGAGGGTCCTCACAGCCCCTCCCTGGGGGATTTGGGGCCCCTCGAGCCCCCCAAAAAAAAGAGTTCGCACGGGGTCTGTCTCTCCTGGCCGTGGGCAGAGCCGTGGCTGGGTCCGAGTCGTCCTCCCAAAATGAAGTTTCGAAGGCTCAGGGGGGGTTTCATCGACTTTTTGTCCACTTTCCCAATAGAACTTCTGATTTTGGGGTTTCCCACCCCGAAAGGTCCGTCCGTGGGATCAGCCTCCCCTCGGGCTCCCAGCCCGGGTGTCCCCTGGTGACCCCGAGTCCCCAGGAGGGGGGTGAGGACACCCTTGGGCTGCCCCTGGGGGGACCACGGGGTGGGCTCTGCCTCCCTGTCCCGGTGTCCCCTCGTCCCACCCCGATCCCACCCCGATCCCACCCCGATTTGCCGCAGGGGATGAGGTTTCTGTGCATCGTTGGACGGTGGGAAGCCCACAAATTTCGGACACTCCGGGTCCTCTCCGCTTCTCCCACCCTGCCTGGGGGACTGCCCGCGTTTGCTGCGGGTCCCTCCCGGCAGAGGGAGGGCTGGATGTGGCCCCCGGGCTGATCCCGGCCCACTAATCCCCTGCTAATCGCCAGGAATTTTGGAAGCAGGCCCGGCAATGAGCCCCACCATTTTTTTCGTGGTGCTACAACAGAGCCCTGACTCATTCCGGGGCTTTTTGCCAAAGAAAACTGGGAGGGAACGTCTTGTCCTGGCCCCGGCTGAGCAGCACAGAGGCCTCTCACCAGTCAGGGACTGGGAGAACTGGGGCGAAGCCACCACGGCACCACCTTTTCCTCCCGCTAGATGGGGGTGTCTGATGCCTCTTGAACGTTCCCGAATCCTTGGTTGGGCTCCTGGGACCGACAGGATGCTCTCCTGGAGTGTCCTGGAGCATCCAAAGGAGGGACATGAGGGTGGTGGTGGAAAGAAAATGGGCTGCTGGATCATCCCAGCTCAAACCTGAAGGGTCCAAAGACCTGAAATTGGGACTTGGCCATAATTTTTGGGGTCCAAAGACCTGATGTTTGGCCTTGGTCTTCCACCTGTGTGGTCCAAAGATCTGAGTCTCAGTGCTGGCCTTAAATTTGTGTGGCCCAAAGACCTGAAATTTGGCGTTGGGGATGATTTTTGGGACCCAAGGAAGGGAAAGGAAGATGGGAAGAGCCTTGAGGGGCCGTGTAAGGACACTGAGGGCACTTGGTGTGTCCAGCTGGAGCAGAGGAGGCTGAGGGGAGACCTCGCTGGGGGCTTCAGCATCGTCAGGAGGGGCAGAGGAGGGGCAGGGACTGAGCTCTGTTCTGGGGGGAGCAGGGACAGCACCCAGGGAATGTTCTGGAGCTGTGCCAGGGCAGGGGCAGGTTGGATCCCAGGGAAAGGTTCTTCCCCCCGAGGGTGGGTGGGTTGGTGGTTGGCCAAGGCTGCCAGAGCTCAAGGGGTGTTTGGATGCTCCTCTGGGGCACAGGGTGGGATTTTGGGGTGTCCTGTGCGGGGCACAGGGTTAGACTGGATGGTCCTGGTGGGTCCCTTCCAATTGGGCAGATTGTGGGATTCTGGGATGTCCTGGAGCTGTGCCAGGGCAGGGTCAGGTTGGATCCCAGGGAAAGGTTCTTCCCCCCGAGGGTGGTTGGCACTGCCCAGGCTCCCCAGGGCAGTGGGCACGGCCCCAAGGCTGCCAGAGCTCCAGGAGGGTTTGGATGCTCCTCTGGGGCACAGAGTGGGATTTTGGGGTGTCCTGTGCAGGGCTGAGGCTTGGACTGGATGGTCCCTGTGGGTCCCTTCCAGCTCAGCAGATTCTGGGATTCCACCAAACCTCTCCCTGGGGGCACCGGTCGCGCCCTCCCCCAGACCAAGACACGCACAACCAAACCCAGTTCCAAGCTTTTAGTTGCCAAAGGTTCCAAACAGCCCCAGAAAAGCTCCCAGAAAGCCCAAGGAAGGGACAGACCCCGTCACGACCCAGTCACCCCGCAGAGGGCGGGTGGAGAGTCCAGGGGATGGTTGTGCAGGAGAAGAGCTCGGGGTGATGTGGGACGTGGTGAGAGCAGCAGGAAAACCCACCCCCAGTCAGGGAACGGCTCCATCCCGTTCCACTGGTGGGATTTTGCATCCAAATGTTAGTTCTGGGCGGCATCTCCAGCGGAGCCCCGGCCGTAGGCAGAGCAGTAACCCCGGGTCGGAGAAGTCCAGCCCCGTTCCAAGGTGCATCCCCCGGTCCCGTCCCCACAGCTGAACGTCCCCTCTCCACAGGTCCCCCCTCCGTAACACCCGTCCCCCCCGGAGCAATCCCCCCCTCCAGGGCTGTACCCCACGACCCCCCCAGTGCCAGCAGGGCAGGAACCCCCAGAGCTCGACCCACAACCCCCAGAGATGGAGCTTCCTCCATATCCAGAGCCTCCTTCATATCCTGAGCCTCCTTCATATCCTGAGCCTCCTTCATATCCTGAGGTTCCTCCATACCCAGAGCTCCCTCCATACCCTGAGCCTCCTTCATATCCAGAACCTCCTTCATATCCTGAGCTCCCTCCATATCCAGAACCTCCTCCATATCCAGAGCCTCCTTCATACCCTGAGCCTCCCCCATATCCAGAGCTCACTCCATACCCTGAGCCTCCTTCATACCCTGAGCCTCCCCCATATCCAGAGCTCCCTCCACACCCTGAGCCTCCTTCTCCCCCACCAATGCACCCGCCACTGCCATAACTGGATCCTCCATGACCTGAGCTTCCTCCTCCTCCAGAGATGGAACCTCTCCTGCCTGAGCTGCCTCCATATCCAGAACTGCTTCCATATCCAGAGCCTCCTCCATATCCAGAGCTCCCTCCATACCCAGAGCCTCCTCCATATCCAGAGGTTCCTCCACACTCTGAACCTCCTTCTCCTCCTCCAATGCACCCACCAGAACTCGATCCTATGTGACCTGAGCTTCCTCCTCCAGAGATGGAACCTCTCCTGCCTGAGCTGCCTCCATACCCGGAGCCTCCTCCATATCCAGAGCTCCCTCCATATCCAGAACCACCTTCTCCCCCTCCAATACCCCCACCACTGCCATAACTGGATCCTCCATGTCCTGAGCTTCCTCCTCCTTCTCCAGAGATGGACCCTCTTCTCCCTGAGCTCCCTCCATATCCAGAACCTCCTCCGTATCCAGAGCTCCCTCCATACCCTGAGCCTCCTTCTCCTCCACAGATGGATCCACCACTGCCATAACTGGATCCTCCATGACCTGAGCTTCCTCCTCCTCCTCCTCCTCCAGAGATGGAACCTCTCCTGCCAGAGCTGCTCCCACCTCCAGAGATGGAGCCTCTCCTGCTTGAGCTCCCTCCATACCCAGAGCCTCCTTCATACCCTGAACCTCCCCCATACCCAGAGCTCCCTCCATACCCTGAACCTCCTCCCCCACCAATGCACCCACCAGAACTCGATCCTATGTGACCTGAGCTTCC